ATTTTCCCCTAACCCTCATTGCCATCTAAGTCATTGGAATGGTGGCCGAAGCCGGGCTGCCGATCTGGAGGCCGAGCCAGGTGCTCATGCAGCAGCGTCCTAACCACTGCACAAACGGGCTCGCCAGGTCATGTCGACTGCGATTGGCAGTTTTTGGTGAGACGACAGTGCCGTAAAACGATCTTCTCTGATTACCAGATCAAAATGAACATTTGCATTTTGCCTTGGAGCGGAAGGTGTACAGCCCACGCAGGCGGTCGCATTATCTGTTCGGTAATGCTTCTCATTAAGTATGCAACATACTTCCCATCCTATGTGGCGTCTACTTATTGGACAGGGAAATTAAGGTCTTTCATTGGGCGAAATTCATACAGCTGGTAGACTTACAATCCGAGAGGAAAATGCGACGGCAGATCGAGCTCAAAATCATGCTGGAATTTGAAAAAAAAACTTAAGACCACGAAATACCCTTTTCCCAAGTATAACCTTCGAAGAAGGCGTGACTTGCTGCCGAATAAGTACAAGAAAAAAAACAATTTTATGCATGCTTCCTTCATAATATGTTTGAATTCATAATGACATCGAAAACCGACAGAAAAAAACGTCCACAACTTAAGTAGTCATTTTTTACTAAGTTCAGTCATTGTAGGCGGTCAGAGCGAAAAGTCAGCATCCCAGCGTGCGTGAAATATCCTGATCTTATGTCAAAAATAATCAGTATTATGATCAAAGTTAAGTCATCGTTTCTAATCGAATAGGCCTTTCACAATTTTGACCGACATTTCATGAGATCGGTCACTGACTGTATGTCAATATGATCGGAGAGTGGCATAAGCAAAAACAAAAAACGAAGCACTTTAAAAATGGCCATATTCGGGAGGACAGAAGTGGCCTTGAAAACCATGCGTCAGTCGGCATTGTTCTTCCAGACATACCTTTGTGTTTATCGGCCTTGTCTATCGGAGATCTGTCCCTACTCGTGAGGGCGTAATATGCCTTTGCCCCACGCCCTGACCTGGTATTTAGAGAGAAAATTCAGGGCGCCGAGAATGATTTAAAATCTCCCACTAATGGACGACTCCGCACCGTTGGGATCGACGAATGTCGGGGAACTTGAGCAGTTGCATAGGTAGGTAGGGTCAGTAGGTGTCCTTACTTTTTCGGAAGCAAAACATCGAGACTACCTGGACTTGCATCCGAGGCATATCTTTTGATTAACAAAATTACTAATTCCAGACTCTTGGCCCCCTGTCGAATGAGAAGACACGAGAGAGCCACGTGTGACTACTATTCAAATTTTCGCACTTGTTAACAGGCATTTTAGCACACTAAAAAAAACGCTCCGTGTTACCAAAAGAAGAGCGAACTTTTAACGTGCGTAATGAGGGATGGAGTAAAAATTGTTAGGCGCGACAACCACCGCGCGTAATGGATGGAGTTTGAGAGATTAGCGGTTTCGTAAAGTTGTTAGATGTGCGGTCTATGGTGGTGTTCTTTTGAATTCAGAGCTACAATCGCCCGGGGATATTTTCTTCTCGTCCGGACATCTATCTTCAGCATTACGGCTGTGAAAGTTTAACCAGCCTCAATGAATGTGGGGTGATTAGCGTTCCCAGAGGAGATTTGACTCCCGTTCATCTAACTCTGCTTTCCGCACTCGTCTGGTCTCAATTGCGTTAAATCAAAGACGATGAAAGTGTGAAATATTATGCCTCAAAGTAAATTACCCACGAGGCTTTAATCAGTTACGACAGAGAGGAAATTAACAGTCATTTGTAGCTTGTAATTTGTTCTGCAACTGACGAAAATAGAAGCGCTTTAAAGTTAAGCATCTCCATAGTTCGGAATGGGCAGTCATAAACTGTCGAAGTCCCGTTAAATGACTAAGGTAGATGATTTTATATGAGGAGTTCAAAGTGCACATGTGATAATGGCGGCGTAAAATCAATTACGTAGAGTGAGAAGGCAATCGATAAAACTAGATGAAAAGCATTGAGGTTTTAAAAACAAAGTATTCTTAACCTACAGATGTCAGATTTAAAGAAGGAGTCAGCTCAGAACTAAAATTTGAAGCATTTTAGCATTACAGTAGATGAGCTAACTCATGAAATGCCAGCCGAAATTCAGAAATGCGATTTAGTTTCGAAAAGATTAATTAAGTAGGGTTGTAAAACGAATCATCCTGCAGCATAATTCTACGAAAAATTCAGTTACCTCAGGATGTCGGCTTTCGAATGAATTTCCTTTGGGTTGCATGCAGAAACTATACTTTGTAAATACTGACTACATATGTAGCATGCATTTTTCTCATTCACTTTCGATGCCCTTAAATGTCCAATCATATTCCATGGAAAACATGAATAAAAATATTCATTCTTCTGCTCATTCGGTAGACAATTACGTTTTCGTCTAACTATCTACTCGAAGGAAGGTTATAATTCGGGTCGAAAGAAAAGTAACTGGCGGCACACATGCGCTCGATCCACCCGCCGGCGTTCAGTCAGGCGATCTCACCACCGACCGTCTTTATGCAGCACTCTATCGAAAGCCCGCCCTCCCTGGCGGACAAGGTCATTCACCAGAGACAAAAGAGCAGAAACGGGTGGTTGTTGCACAAGGGGCTGCGGTATTTATAGGATGCAGCAGCCATGCTACCGCCTGCCTATGAACGTTCACGGTTTCCCCCTTCAT